TCTTCTAGACGAGTGGCGGGTTCTATACATTCGGGTGACCGAGTAGCCTTCGTGGACCCTCGAGAATAAAAATACAGTTGAGCCTAGTCCCATACGAGTGCTTGCGATCCCCCTCATCTGAATCTTTTTTTTTTTTGCTTTATCGAAGCTTTGGGAGAGGACACTCGTGTTACTTTTCCTTTCTTTCGGGATTTACCCAGAAGTTTTGAGGATTTTCTTTTACTTGAGCCTTTTTCGTTGATTTTTCTTGAGTTTTCTGCTTTTTCTCGGATTTTCTGGATGACATTTTCATCCGGACTTTGCTTTTTGAGATGCATTTAGGCTTGCTATACTTAAGGAACATCGGATCTCACGGGTGTACAGGTTTGCTTTACATTTTACAGCACTTAATTTTCCTATTTCTACCTGCTACCGTATTGTACAGCACTTAATTGTCCTGTTTCTACCTGCTACCGTACTCTACAGCATGTTATACTTGTCTTGTTTCTACCTACTACCATACTGTACAACATGTTACACTTGTCCTGTTTCTACCTGCTACCGTACTCTATAACATGTTATAATTTTCCCGTTTCTGCCTGCTACAGTACTGTAAAGCATGTTACACTTGTCCTGTTTCTACTTTCTACTGCTCTTCATTTATAGCACGTTATACTGTCCATGTTTTTGCCTACTACTGTTCCACGTGCATTTTATTGTTTGTTCCAGCATTGCACACTTTACATTATATAGCTTCAAGCATGTTTCCTTTTTGCATAGGATGTTTAGAGGACTACAACCATAGGGTCGTTTGATTTAACACTATAACTGGACACCCTAAAAAACTTAAACTCGTGCTATTGTTTCATATGCATCCTACTGTTTGCCCTGTACTGCACACTTTATATTATATAGTTTTAAGCACGTTTCTTTTTTATATAGGATGTTTAGAGGACTACAACCATAAGGCCGTTTGATTTGATACTATAACTGAACATCCTAGAAAACTTAAACTCGTCACGTCGAGGAGCTTGGAGCTAGCGCAGTGGGCAGCACGGCCATCTTCAACAGCAAAACTTTTCTTCCCCAGCAAAACCATTTCTTTCCTAGAAATTAAACAAGTCATAGGATTTCGAGGTTGTTTGCCTAGCGCAACATAAATCCTCACTTTATCTGTTAGGTCTTTGCACAGTTAGACTGTACAATTTAAGCCCTAACTCGTTCTAGGTTCCGAGGTTGTCGTCCGATACGACGTAAACCCTCATATCTTTCAGACGATTTGTGTGACTATTCACGTAAATATAAGTCCTAATTAAATAAAATTATCAGGATGAAACACTCTAATAATTTATCCTCGAAACTGAAGCCAAATCATAGGATAGACTGGGAAGCCACCGAGGTTCGCCTCAGGATCCGTGGTCTCCCCTAGTTTCTCTTCATTTGGATTCCTCAACATTGTTCCAGGTTCGAACATTTCCCCTTTCACACCTCTTCGTCCGATTTCGTTGAAAAGTCCTATCCTTTTGACTTCTTTGAAGATA